ATTGCCTCCATTCTGTATCTTTTCAGGTCCTGAGATCATGAGCAAGTTGGCTGGTGAGTCTGAGAGCAACCTTCGTAAAGCCTTTGAGGAGGCTGAGAAGAATGCTCCTGCGATCATCTTCATTGATGAGCTGGATGCCATAGCTCCCAAAAGAGAGAAAGTAGGAACTTACCCAAAGGATTCGTGGGGGGTTGAAAGGTCCTGACTTCACTTCTGACCAGATATCCTGTTCTGACAGACCCATGGGGAGGTAGAGCGACGTATTGTATCACAGTTATTGACCCTCATGGATGGCCTAAAGCAGAGAGCACATGTGATTGTCATGGCAGCAACCAACAGACCCAACAGCATTGACCCAGCCCTACGACGATTTGGTAAGGACCCCAAATTCCTTTCATCCCTGTCCTTGTTCATAGGAAGATTATAGCTCTACTTGGCTTACTCTCTTTGATCCTACATTTGTCCTTTATCTAAGTCACCTAATTCTGAGGATCTTTTGAAGCTCTTTGTAGTGATAGGGCCCAGGAGTCCTTTCCCTTTTCTCATGTCCTGTCTAGGATGATGAACCATCCTGGTTTGCTTGAGACTGAGGGGTTACCCAAGACCTGGGACCTTACGAGTGTTAACATCAGGACAGTTCTGGGCAAACTGGGATGGTTGGTCACATTAGGCCTATCCTTTTTTCCCTCTGGACCAGAAATGAGCCTTGTCTATGTTCACACAGGTCGCTTTGACAGGGAGGTAGATATTGGAATCCCTGATGCTACAGGACGCTTGGAAATTCTTCAGATCCATACCAAGAACATGAAGCTGGCAGATGATGTGGACCTGGAACAGGTGGAGTGGTGATAAGGGCTGGCCAGGATTTTTAGGATAGCCATTTCTAGGCAATTGAAGGGAATTGGCTAGGAATATAAACTTGAGATGCGAAGATACTGATTTCGATTCCTGGGCAGGGGAAAGGAAGTGATCTAAGAGTGAATCCAGGAAACTGGACTTGTCATGTTTCTTGGTTGACACTACCTTAGAGTAAACCTGAATTTTGGGGGCACTTTATTTCCAAGCCCCAAGTTCAGGCTTGAATACTTAAAATCCAGCCAGTGAAAGGACTGCTAGTATGTATTCAGAGAAATGGGAGGACCCAGAGATAGGAGTTAGAGGCACAAGCCAAGATTCTGTTGTCTTTGAGCTTCCGAAGGCATCTAGTTCTTAGAGAGAGGATAATAAGTAGATTTTTTTCTCTGCAGGTGGCCAATGAGACTCATGGGCATGTGGGCGCTGACTTAGCAGCCTTGTGCTCAGAGGCTGCTCTGCAGGCCATCCGCAAGAAGATGGACCTCATTGATCTAGAAGATGAAACCATCGATGCTGAGGTCATGAATTCCCTAGCAGTAACTATGGATGACTTCCGGGTAAGGACTGCATTCCTATCTCAAGTAGATACACATACACTTTGACCCCACCCCTGGGGAGTCTCATCCCCAGTTTATCTTCCCTTTTTAGTGGGCCCTGAGCCAGAGCAACCCATCAGCACTGCGAGAAACTGTGGTGGAGGTGCCACAGGTGACCTGGGAGGACATTGGGGGCCTGGAGGATGTCAAACGTGAGCTTCAGGAACTAGTCCAGGTAGGGTAGCTTGGTCCAGGGTGAGTCACTGCTTCAGTACTTTGTAATTGAGCTGGGTGGGCTTGGGATGTTGGCATATTCATTGCAGGAATTGTGAGAGAATAAGTCAAGAACCTGCTATTCTCAGGTTTGAGGTACAAAGGAGCCTGCTCCTAGGGAACCTGGATCTTACACTTTGGAGTAGGAATGGGGGGGAAATATTCTCAGGTTTGAGGTACAAAGGAGCCTGCTCCTAGGGAACCTGGATCTTACACTTTGGAGTAGGAATGGGGGGGGTGCTTCTGTTTGGTTAGATTTCTTTCAAACTATAAGGATGTCCCTGAACCCTCTTTCCTTTTCCTCCTAGTATCCCGTGGAGCACCCAGACAAATTCCTCAAGTTTGGCATGACACCCTCCAAGGGAGTACTGTTCTATGGACCCCCTGGCTGTGGGAAAACCTTGCTAGCCAAAGCCATTGCTAATGAGTGCCAGGCCAACTTCATCTCCATCAAGGGTCCTGAGCTGCTCACCATGTGGTTTGGGGAGTCTGAGGCCAACGTCAGGGAAATATTTGACAAGGTGAGCTACAAATAGCTGAGCTATCTATTCATTTGCATGGGGGCAAGGTAGAGATAGTCTGTTTTTGGGAGAGTTAAAACCATCTCATTCTGGCAGCTCAACTGGGGCACTTTATTTTCCTTTTCAGGTCTGAAGAGACCCAATGGTGTTAATGCTTGAGTTTCATCTGTCCCTCCCACAGGCCCGCCAAGCTGCCCCCTGTGTACTATTCTTTGATGAGCTGGATTCAATTGCCAAGGCCCGTGGTGGTAACATTGGAGATGGTGGTGGGGCTGCTGACCGAGTCATTAACCAGATCCTGACAGAAATGGATGGCATGTCCACAAAAAAGAATGTGTTTATCATCGGCGCTACTAACCGGCCTGATATCATCGATCCTGCTATCCTGCGACCTGGCCGCCTCGATCAGCTCATCTACATCCCGCTTCCTGATGAGAAGTCCCGCGTTGCCATCCTCAAGGCCAACCTGCGCAAGTCCCCAGTTGCCAAGGCAGGTGCAAGGTCATGGGCTATGGGGACTTCTGTGAGTCCTCAGGCTAGTGTGAAGTGCTCTTTGATTCCTAGACAATATTTCATTGGAGATTTCTGGGGTTAGAGTTGTAAAGGGAAGATGGAAGATTTGAGGGTATTAGGATAATCTAGAATTGGGAATAAAAATCAGCATGTTAAAAGATGGGATGAACTGGAATTGGAAGTGCTTGAGCGGCTCAAAGATTGTGTATCACAGGGGAGGAGAAGTTAAATGCTAAGATACTCTTGCATCTTTTAGGACGTGGATTTGGAGTTCTTGGCTAAGATGACTAATGGCTTCTCTGGAGCTGACTTGACAGAGATTTGCCAACGTGCTTGCAAGCTGGCCATTCGTGAATCCATCGAAAGTGAGATAAGGCGAGAACGGGAGAGGCAGACTAACCCATCAGCCATGGTGAGTTTGCATCCTTTACCTAGAAGTGCCGGTTGTGGGGAGCCAGAGGACAGTCTCTACCAGAGTTAAGAGTGTAAGGTTTTGGAAAGGTCATCTGACTGAGATATTTAGCAGGGCATCAAAGAGAAAGAATAACTGAGAATTAACCCTTTTAGTCTGGAATTATGAAGGCTGAGAAGAGATGGGCAGGCTATATTCTCAGTCTGAAGCCTCCATGAGGGAAATCAAAGTATGATTGTGCAGATAAATAGAGCAAGGCTTAGAACTTGGGATTTACGGACCTATCTATCACTCCTAAAATTAAATGCCTCTGTGTGTGTGTGTGTGTGTCTACACACATTTGTACTCCATAAAGACAGATACTCCTTAACTATTCCTGATCTGTTTACCAAACCCTACAGGAGGTAGAAGAGGATGATCCAGTGCCTGAGATCCGCCGAGATCACTTTGAGGAAGCCATGCGCTTTGCCCGCCGTTCTGTCAGTGACAATGACATTCGGAAGTATGAAATGTTTGCTCAGACCCTTCAGCAGAGTCGGGGCTTTGGTAGTTTCAGGTAAGTAGTCTGCATTGGGCAGTGCTTAAGTTGTCTTGGAGAACTAAACCAAGGTCGTGAGTGTCCTAAGGATACTAGAAAGATAGTTGTGAAAACACAGGTCCTGTCCTAACCTTTTTTTTTCCTTTTGGTTCTGCTCTTTTGCACACAGATTCCCTTCAGGAAACCAGGGTGGAGCTGGCCCCAGTCAGGGCAGTGGAGGCGGCACAGGTGGCAGTGTATATACAGAAGACAATGATGATGACCTGTATGGCTAAGTGGTGATGGCCAGCATGCTGCGAGCTGGCCTGGCTGGACCTTGTTCCCTCAGGGTGGGGGTGTTTGCCCAGGAGGGACCAGAGGTGCTCCCACAGCCTGCTCCATTCCTCAGCCTGAACAGTTCAGTTACAGTCAGTCTCTGGACAGGGGGTTTCTGTTGCAAAAAATACAAAACAAGGGATAAAATAAAAGTGATTTTCATTTGGGAGGTGGAGAGTGAATTACCAACAGGGAATTGGGCCTTGGGCCATTTCTGTTGTAGTTGGGGCAGTGCAGGGGACCTGTGCGGGTGTGAACCAAGGCACTACGCCACTCCCTACAGTAAAGCATCTGCACTTCACTCAATGCTTCTCAAGCCCTCCCTTCTTCCCCCTACCCAACCTGGGCAGGAAGGTTAAGGGCCACAGTTGCTGGGTGTTTATATAGAGAGTAGGTTGATTTTATTTTACATGCTTTGAGTTAATGTTGGAAAACTAATCACAAGCAGTTTCTAAACCAAAAATGACATGTTGTACAAGGACAATAAACATTGGGTCAAAATGGAGCCTGAATACCAGCCCCTGTGCCTGCTTCTTTTCCTGGGAAGGGCCTTGGGTTACCCCTCACTGCCAAGGCACTTTTCCAAATGTGAAATCCTGTTAGATTGCATCCTTTTCCCTCCTGATTGACATCAGTATGATACTGCTGCCTCCCCGCTATGGCTGCAGTATCACTGGATAGGACTGCAGTAGAGGGGAAACAACCTGATGGAGCTCCAGATGTGGAAAATGTTGCATCCTCCACCTATATCTGACGTGGATGGTAAGAATAGGCCTACAGAACCCCTTTTACCTGACCAAGGACTGGATTGGAGTGCTCTCCAAAAATCTTAGAGCTGCAGAAAGATACAATCTGCGTGGAGGCGGATGTTCTTTCGGTGCATCTAAAAGTCCCAAACATTCATGCTCTGGTTGAGGGTCACTTATAATTATGTCCACCTTTATTTTATGTAATTTGTATTATAAAAAAACAGCTTTTCTAACATAAAATTCTAGTATTGGATGTGTTTTTTTCTAAATTAAACATCCTCTCCTGCTTGCAGTTTTTCAGATGATTGCTTGCATAGTTTTGTTGAGGTATAGAGTATCCTCTTCTTCAAAAGGTACCATCATTATCACTTAGGGCTTCTGGGGTTAGTACCATGATGCCTTCCTTACCCAAAGAACAGTATGGTGCAGAGAAAACAATCCACTGTAAAACTTGTATTGTTTATCCTAGTACTTATACCAGGCTCTGATCTTGTCTACATAGATAATCTACAAGGACACAAGATAATTATGTTGGCTGCTCTGTTTAAATGGGCATCTAGAACTCATGTGTTTTGAAATAGTTATTTTTGCATTTTGGGAATTTGAATAGGCTGTCCCTTGTTTCCTGTGGCATTTTCTCCAGATTCTGTCTTTGGTTCTCCTTGGTTTTCCCACCATTTAGGTATCCTGATGGCTTAGCCTTCAGTCTTCCCACTATGAACATTGTCACTGTCTCATCCCTATGGGTTGACAGCCTAACCTCAGTGAGGGCCAAAGGTAAGGTCTTTTGGAGAAAGACGTTTAGTACCTCTGCATCAGACTATGAGAGCGTAACAGAAGGCAAGTGGTATTTTCCTACAAAATATGTAGTGATACTGGTTGATGAGTGATAGAAATGTGTTGGAATGATTCCTTTGTTTTCACTTGCCACACAATGTGTCTATAGGGAAGATAGAGCTCTAGATTCTGTAGGAAAAACGAAGAGTAGATGTAGTGAGAGGCCTGGTTCTAATTCTGGCACTTGTGCTTATAGCATTGTAAGCTTGAATGAGGTACTTGGCTCTTTAGGAGTCTGGAGTCTTAATCTGATAAAATGATTGACAGTGCTTTGTAAACTGTAGAAAGCAGTGAGGGACTGTTTATTGTCACCTTACACCTGCAGAAGCCTGCATACTTAAACTAGAAAGAAATTGGAATGTGATCTTAGCTGTAGCTAATCACTTCTTCCCACAAGATAATCTACAAACATCTGCTATGATTAATAGAAGGTTTTCTAACCAAGAATAAGATATATAGATTATAGAGGACCAACAGTATGCCACAGAGGCAAAAACAAAGATGGAACTATAAGCCTAATGTCTCGAGATATATTTGGATCCAAGATACTGATCCTATAAGTTGCCATGAGAGTCTAGTGGTCACATAATGCCCATGAGGAACACTGGTCTGCCAATCATTAATTTGGCTGAACTGTGACAAATGGTAAATGGTTTGTTACTCTTGTCCGGTCCTATGACCTACTGAGGGCTTAAGAAGATTTAGGAATATAGGACTTGGATTTTTCATAAAGCTATCCAGGGATGCGTTGAGGCTAAGAGAATGAGTTAATGCTCTGGAGATAGTCTGAACTGGGCATTAAAGGAGGGTAGGATACTTGACATAAGTGCAGGTAAGCAGTTCAAGTAAAAGGTACAGAGGTCAGAAAATGCAGAGCACATTTAAGAAGCACTAGGTTGACTAGCAAGAGAGTCCTGGAGTGAATTCAGAGAGGTTAGAAACCATATGTGAAGAATCTCATATCAGGAATGAACTTTAACCTAAAGAACTTAAGGTAGGGAAGTGAGTCAGAGTCAGACTTCAATATTAGAGAATTCACCTTTTTCCTTTTTTAAGTTGTGGCAAAAAACCCACAAAATTTTATAACAATTACCAAGTGTGCAGTATAATACTGTCAATCACATGTGCATTGTACATAGACAGTTCATTTTTTAAATAACCTTTTATAGAAGCCAAAATTTTAAAAAATAGAAGAAAAATTTTAAAAATTTAATATTCCCATTTAACCAGAGCTCAGCTAAATAACTTTAGTTCATATCTTTGAGTCTTTTTCTGTGCATGTGTGTAAATGTATGTGTCTATACATGTAGTATTTTTAAATCAAAATGAGCTCATCCTGCTTTATAACTTTTTAACATCAATCTCTACATTTTGCTTTCAGTAAACTTTCATTTAATCTAAACCTCATTCTATACTCTGTAGTTTCCCAAGTGAGCCAAATATGTCATTCACAAGTTTTTTCACCACACCAATAGCCAGTCTAGGACCACAGGTTGCTTTGAGTAAAGGTTATGTTCCTTTACTCAAACTTCTATTTTTGTACCTAGAATAATATTTAGTAGTTTTTTCCTCCATGTTTTTATGTAATTTTAAAAAATTTTAATTATTGTATTCAAACTTTTATGATACTTGTTCAAGATATTGGGTCAGTTGACCACCAGAGAGTTGTAGCCATGTGGAAAATGGATTAGAAGGAATAGGGCTACCAACTGGTGAGAGATGGTGATTGAACTGTGATAGCGGAGATGGAGAGGTGAAGATGGATTTGAAATATGTTTTATAGGTATAATTGACAATGTTTGATGATGGGTTAGGTTGCGGAGTAAGAAGGAGGAGGAGTCAGGGATGACAGGCTTCTGGCTTTGGTATTGGGGTGGATGTGGTATCCTTCAATAGGAGTGGGCACATTGGAGATTAGAGGGTAAATGAGTAGGTTTTGGACAAGTTGAATACAAGACGTCTAGTAGGCTGTTGGATATATGGATATGAAATCTAGAGATGCTTTAAAAAGACCCATTTTGAAAAATGGCACATAATGGAATGGGTTGAAGACATTCTGTATTTTTCAATGGTACTGGTAAAATTGGATATCTGTTTTTAGTGGGTAGTTAGAGTCTCACTTCCTACCATATTAAAAAATTAGGTTAACAGTCTAAATGTAAATATATAAAACTATAAAAGTGTCAGAAAATGTTGTAAAAGTCATAAAGGAAAAAGATTTAATTACATAAAAATGTAATTAAAAGATTTAAATACATGAAAATGCAATTAAAAGATTTAATTACATAAAAATCGTAAACTTTGGTGTAGTAAAAGTCACCTTAAATAAAATAAGAAAATAAGCTGCAGATTGGGAGGAAATGTCTGTGACATATAATAGGTTGAGTTAGTTATCTGTGGTAGGCAGGATAATGCCCCAAGATGTCTGCATCCTAATCCCTGGAACCTGTCAATACATTACATAGAAAAGGGAATTAAGGTTGCTAACCAACTGACTTTAAGACTGATAAAGTATCTTGGGTTATCCAATTGGGCCCAATGTAATTAACAAGTATCTTTAAAAGTGGAAGAGGTAAGCAAAAGCAGAGTGATGTGATGTGAGAAAAACCTGCCTTTGCTAGCTATGAAGGTAAATAGGGCCAGTAACCAAGGAATGTGGGCAGCCTCTAGAAGACAGGAAAGTCAAGGAATGAATCCTACCCGGTGCCTACAGAAAAGAATGCAGCCCAGTCTATTTTTCTGACAAATTTGTGTTGCTTTGTGGTAGTTTGTTATGGCAGCAGCAGAAAACTAATACAATATCCATAACAGTGCAGTAGAAAAATGGGTAAAGGATATAGACAGGCAATTAAAAGAAATTCAGATGGCCACTAAACATGAAATTCACTTGTTTTTGTGGCCCTGGGGATGGTTGAGCTGACCCAGGAAGAGAAAAGAGCAGAGGGCTGAAAAGAAATGGTTGGAAAGATAGGTGGAGAACTTGTGGTTCAAGTGGGTAAAGAAGGGGACCGACCATACCCAGGACCAAAAATAGCTGCCTAGACCCACATCAGTTGTGCTCATGTGAATGGATGTATTCTTTTCACTTTCTGTGAAGTGTATCTTAAGGGCAGCCCTGGATTGTGCTCCCCTGGCCTTCCAGCCTTACCCTGTAGAGTAGGGTCGTGTAGACTCCAGATCGATTATTTGTGAAGGGCTTGAAAAAGTTAAGCCTGCAGAATCCTGAGCTCTTTACTTCAGGGACCTGATCCTGAGGGAATATAGCTGCTGAGCTGCAGAATTTAATAAGGAACTGACATTCTCAGTAACCCAGACTCCAAAGAAGACATGAATAGGATTTATCTAGTTCAGCTTGTTTATTAGGATTTCCTCTGCTTGTCTCTCCAGCCCTAACTGGTTTGGCTTCAGGTCTTGGGGTACTAGGTGCCAGTACTAACAGCGTTTCCTCTGCTGACTGGATTTGGTGGGTAGGGCTCCATGGGTACCCAGAAACTTGGCTAACATCCTTTGGAGACTCCTGCTAAGGGGAGTCTGAGGTGTGGGGGAAGAGAGATGCTTCTCTGTATGGGCCCAAGGGCAGTGCTTACAATGCTGAGGGGTCGGGATATCACCAGCTCCCAGCCCAGCTTCTCGCTTATCTTGGGGACTTGCAACCTTGGAGTGAAGCTGCTGAGGGAGAGCAGTCTGTAGAGAGCTCTGGTTTCTGTGCTGAAATCCTTGGGAAAGTCTGCATGCTAGTCTTTCAGCCTGGCCTGGGCGGCTCTTCATTGTAACTGTGGATGATCCCAATCTATGGTCTCCTACTTTGGGTTTCCTGGGGCTTTCTCTCTTTTTCACTGAAGATAGGGCTGAAGCCTTGTCTTGTGTGTTACCTAAGACTGGAACCTCAGAGTTTGAGGGCTCTTCCAGGGCTGGAAAGTTCTTACCAGCCTCCTTGTGAACATGTGGTCCCTGGGGTGAGACCTGGGCCACCATCTTCGCCTGCATTCTTTCCTCTCTCTGAGACTCTTGTTCTTCCCTGCCAGACCATTGTGGCTGAGGATGGGAAGAAGAGTGGGAGTGACAACAGTGGGAGATCTGGACAGATGGAGATACTGTGCTCTCAACTTTTAGGGGATGACAGCTTGAAGAGTAGGGACACGGTTTGGGGGGATGGATCTGCTGTGGGGGGCAGGAAGAGAGTCTCCAGGTGCTTGGAGTTTTGGAGCTCAGAGCAGGGGAGCTGCCAAATGATTGACTTGGGCCAGGGGATCTAGAAGCAGGGCTCTGCTGCAGTTTCTTCAGCCTAAGTTCCAATTCTCTACTCCAGTGCCAGGCCCGGATCTCAGGGAGGATGGGCACCTCTGAGACAGTTTCTCTCTGGGAGGGCGGAGTCTCCTCCTTACCTCCTGGGAACAGCCCTCCCTTGGTTACGCCAGTCTGGTTGGGTTCAGTCTTCAGAGCTTCAGGTAGGGTGGGAGGCCAGGGTATTGGCTGCAGGGGATCTACTGCTGGAGGGCTGAGGCCCTGTGAGATCTCCCTTTGTTGCACATTTCGCCATACTAATTCAAGGTCAGTGTGTGGATCTGGTAGAGGAGCATAGAGTGAGCTGAAGGTTGGGGCTGGCAGTTCAGTGGCCCAGCATTTCCTTCTCTGCTCCACTGCTCCCCTCTCAGGCTTACAGTTGCTTTGGTCTTCAATAGACTCACTTATGTGAGACTCTGATATAGAGTTCAGGGGTGGGCTGGGGCCCCAGAATGGGGACCAGGGAGCACAACAGATTTCTTTCTGCTCTGTGTTTCCTGTATCAGGCTCAGAGTCAGACATTATTCCCAAGGGGCTAGCTTCGTATGGGTCTTGGGGTAAGCTTCGAGGTGGGCACTCAAAGGCCCAGGAGTTCTTTCTCCTTTGTATATCCCCACAGCTAGCCTCAGAATCAGACAAGACCTCCATAGGGCTAACTCCAAGGGGCTCCAGTACAATAGCTGGCTGTGGGCCAAGGGCCAGAGATGGGGTCTTAGAAGCCCAGGAATTGCTGTAATGTTCAATGTCCTTCCATGCAGCTTCTGATCTAGTGAGTCTTCCAACGGGATTGTTTCTTTGGGGTTCTAGAACAGGAGCTAGAGATCGGCTGTAATCAGGGCCTAGATACTCAGAGATCCAGAGGTTCTCTTTCTGCCCCATGGTCTCCCACAAAGCCTTGGAGTCAGACAGGACTTCCTGGGGGCCCATTCCCAGGGACTCCAGCAGAGAGGCTGAGGGAAGGCTAGGAGATGAAACTGGGTCTGCAGAGACCCCAAAATTTTCTCTACTCTGCATGCCCTTCCATAGAGTCTCAGATCCTGATGGGACACATGCAGAACTGGTTCCATAGAGCCCTGGTTTGAGGTCCAGGGTGGGGGGCTCGAGGGCTGGAGGGTTTCCTGAATTTTCTCTGTGTCCCCAGTAGGGCTTGTATCCAGATAGATCTCCCAGGGAACTGCCTCCCTGGATTTCTCGTAGGGGGTCTGGAGGAGGGCAAGGAGCTGGCATTGGAGACCCAGAGATCTGAGGGTTCTCTCTGTGCCCCATGGTTCCCCAGATGTCCTTAGGTGCAGAATGTCCTCCTTCAGGACTGACTTTTTTGGGTTCTAATAGAGAATCTGGAGGTTGGCATTGGGCTGGCATTGGGGGCACAGAGGCTTGAGGATTCTCTTTCTGTCCTGTGGTTCTCCACTGAGTCTCACATCCAAGTGGAGCTCCCAGGGGGCTAGTTCCTTGAGTCTCTGTCATAGGGGCTACAGATTGGCAAGGGACCAGGATTGGAGGCTCAGAGATCTCAGGATTCTCTCTTTGCCTTGTGGTTTCCCAGAGGTCTTTAGATCCATAAAAGCCTCGTATAGAACTAAGTCCCTGGAGTTCTGACAAAGAGGCCAGAGTTGGGCTGGGAACTGGCATTGCCGGCTCGGGGGCTTTTGGGTCCTCATTCTGCCTCATGGTTCTCCATGGGGCCTCAAACCTAGTCAGGACTCCCAGAAGGCTAGAAGGATACAGCAGAGAGTCAGAGAGGGAATCTGGAATGTGGTGTTGGAGGCTGGGATCCCATGGCACCCCCCACCAGAACTTGGAGCATCTAGTTCTTTGGAGTTCAGGATGTGGGTACAGGTCTTGATCCTCAGAGACCCAAGGGACCTCTCTCTGCTGCATAAGCCACTGCATATGTGCCTCAGCACCAGATAGGACTCCCTTGTGGTCTGTGAGAAAGGTCATACCATGGATGGGTAGTGATGGAACAGAAAGGGAAGGTAGAGGGGGAAGTTGCTGAGGATTGGGGGCTATCTTTTCCAGATCACCTGTAGTATGGACTTCATGGGTAGGAAGCTGAGTTGGGGACCAATACTGGGGAAGCAGCAGGTTGAACCTAGGCAGGAAGGCAAGCTTGTTGAAGTAGACAGGACTAACAGGCAACTTCAGGGGAGAGCGACTGCTTGAGCTCAGGAAGATGGCCTCCAAGGACTCACTGTGCAGAGAAGGGAGACCCCAGAAGAGCTGGCTTTCTCTCTGCTCTAGATGGCTCCCTGAAGCTGTCTTGTGCCTCACAGGCAGGTTGGTCAGGATCTGAAAGGTGGGGAAGGATCTGGAAGGGCTTGGGGCCTGCATGAGTACTAGCTCTGGGGTCCCTATGGCCTCGTGGAGGCTCTTAGAATCACAGGATGGCTGGGATGGGGCTGCTGTGGCTTGTTCTCTAATAGGATCCTCTTTGGGAGGAGAACATGGATCGAGAGATGTCTCTTCCTCTTCCTCCTCTTCCTTCTCTTCCTTCTCTTCTTCCTCCTCTTCCTCCTCTTCCTCCTCTTCCTCCTCTTCCTCCTCTTCCTCCTCTTCCTCCTCTTCCTCCTCTTCTTCTTCTTCTTCTTCTTCTTCTTCTTCCTTCTTCTTTTCCTCCTCTTCCTCCTCTTCCTCCTCTTCCTCCTCTTCCTCCTCTTCCTCTTCTTCCTCCTCTTCCTCCTCTTCCTCCTCTTCCTCCTCTTCCTCCTCTTCTTCTTCCTCTGACTTCTGCTTCCATAGACGATCAAGGAAAGGCACATGGTATAGAAGTGGTAGTAGGCCCTGGGGAGTAGAGAAAGATACTTTCAGGCTTGAAGCCTTTTCAGAGGCACAAGCTATGTCATGAAGCCCTCAGCCTTTGTTCCACACTCAGCTGGCCCCACATCTATGGTTCATAGTCACCTATCTGATGTTAATAACTATTACCCAGCCCACATTTGGAGATCATTCCTTACATAATCCTATATCTAGGGTCAGTGATCACTCACTAGGCTTCAAGTCTAGTCATTGATTGATCCCTCACCCAGCCTCACATTTAAGGCTAATAGTCACTCACTTGGGCTCACATCCATGTCAATGATTCCTCACTCAAATTCACATGTGGTGTCAACAGTTATTCAGCCTTCTGCACACCCATGTCACCCACCTTGTCTTGCATCCTGTCCCCAGAGTACCAGGGCTGAAGATGTTTCCAACTCCCAAGCTGCCACCATCTCCGGATCTGCCAAACCATGAACAGGAATAGTGTCACTAGATTCCCTGTACTCTGGAGGCAGCTGCTACCACAGTATCTGCAGGCCAGGGCATGGGTCAGCTGGGCCCAGAGAAGCCCCTTGTCCCACTTAGCTCCAAGCAGGTCCTCTAGCAGCCATTCCATTTTCCTCAGCCTAGTGGCAGTTTATCCTGATGTCATCACTACACAGAACAAAGAACTCCCATCCCCCACATGCCTAACAGCCTTCTCCCTGAATTTAGGGCCAAAAAATTGCCTCCACCAGACAACTTGTAGTTCTTACATTGAAACCTGGGGGATCAGATTTCCTTTTGTCTTGATTGCCAAGGTCAGAATTATGCTTTAGGGATTGTGGTTAAGGACATGAATTCTAACATCAAACTGCCTCATTCAAATCCTAGCTCTACCACTTCCTACCTGTGAAATTTCAGAACTGCTTAATTTTTCAGTGCCTCGGTTTTCTCATCTGTAAAATGAGAATGATATTATTACTTACCACATAGGGTTGTTTTGAGGATTAAATGGATAAATTTATGATTAGAATTGTACATAGTGTGTTATATTAAAATTTTATTTCTTTTAAGGTTCCAGATTACAAGGCTCATTCCATCTTTAATAGATGGAATCTGTTCTCTCTTTTTTTTAAATCTCATGTCAGCTATGAACTGTCTTATTTGAAGAAGAAAAGTTGAGTCCTGATGGAAAATAGAGAAGGCAATACTGAATATTTATTCTGTGCTAGTTAATTTACACTTATGGCAGGATAACTTATCAAGTTATTAATTGTTATCTCCTACTTGCCAAAGGAGACCCCCAGTAGAATAAAAAGGTAACTTTGCTCTTCTGTCTTCCAGAAATTCCAGGGTTTTTGTCTCATGGAATTATTAATGAATTTTGTTTTTTCTAGTTCCAAATCAAAGTTGTAAGACACCTGGTCTACAGTCTTATCTAGGCTTTTGTGTGGGAGGGGAATTTAATTTAGTTGGGTGCTCTAGAGAAGGAGAAGATGGAGGACATGCTGAGTTGCCCAAGGATAGCAGTGGACCCAGGGACTTGGGAAAAGAAATATAGCAGTGGGTTCCATGAGTGACCAGTGCTGTACAAAAGTCCGCTAGGAGGCAGCAGGACTTCTGATTAGAAAAGCTGATTTAATGGTTAGGGCACTAAACATCTATCACATAGTCTTGGGAACTGCACCAAAAGATGCTGGTGTACATACTTGGCAGAAATGCTGTGGAGCCTTTGAATAGACCATATGGATTTAGATAATGCACAACCATGGCAGACTCAAGCTGAGGCTCTTTTCTAAGTGGCTTTCTTTATGGGCAGTATATACCACACTAAAGGAAAAAAAGGCCCCCCAGTCATGACGAATATTGATTATCTTTGAACCCTAGTACATGGTAGTTTTGAGCCAGATTTAATTTAATTTAGAAAAATTAAATAATGTGATATTTCTTGCTCCTTATTGTTATGGAACAAATTTATACTCTAACATTTATTATCTCATTTAATCTTTACAACTCTTTGAAGTAGGTATGTTACCTCTTTTCACATAAGGGGAAACAGCACAGAGAAGTTTCCAGAAGGTAGAGCCAGGGATTGGGAACCCCCTTGAACTTTGAGGAATCATTTGGATATAAGTTACACAATATGAAATCCAACAAGTGTAAATAAAATGGGGCTATATTGACTCATAACGGAACAGACTGGGGGTAGGACTGGCTTCAGGTAGGATCAATTCAGGGACTCAATTCAATGTCATCAGGATTCAGTTTCCACTTCTTGGCTCTCTGTCTTCTGTGCTGACTTTATTCTCAGGTTCTGTGTGGTAGCAGGTTCAAGTGAAGCTAAAAACGTGGTGTCGCTCTGACAACATTGTGACTTATGGGTTCCAGTTGGTCATGTATCGATTCCTGAACTACTGATTGTACTGCTCAAAGGGGAGTAGAATGCTGCTTCTGACAGGTCTGAGTCACATACATACCCTTGGAGTAAGGGTGTGGAGGGAAGACCACTCCACTTGCACATGGACTGAGACTGAAGAAGTGGGATTGTGGTAGTTTCTCCAGAAGACATAGACATACTGTTTCCAGAAAGGTGTATGCATGTTGGTATAAAAACAAGACAAAACAGATGTCCACTACAGCCCTCTCTAACTTCCTCATTCTGTTTTCTGGCCCAGAGCTATGTCATTATCCTTTTATGATTCGAGACTTAAGTTGAAGTGTGAACACAGGTCCTCTGAAGGTTGGGGAAGAGGCTGGTTGGGGCCCATGGCAGAGATCTTGAAGAGGGGGAATCTGTGGGAGACCTAAACATCTGTGTGGATAGATCTTTCAATGACCTAGATGCTCAATTCCTAGACTTGTTCATACCAGAGCCTTTTATCTCTGCTCCAATCCAGCTTTGGTCATATCTGAAGCCTCATCATCAGGAATTACTCTGCCTTCTGAGATAATACAGTCTGGCATCCTGCCCTCTGACTTCAACCTCCATATTTGTCCTAAAGATGACAGTTCATCAACCTTGTCAGGATGTCCATTCATTCCATCGATCCTTCCATTTTCTCCTTGTTCATGATCAACCTCTTGCCTTCATTTCCTCCCTCTCTATGATAGACTTCATGGTCCATCATTTAATCAACATGCCAAACATTTCTCAGTTCATTTGCCTTCTATGATTTCTACCTGACAAAATCCTAACTCTCTGCCTCTTTCAGACCTGCCATCTAGGAAGCAGCTCAGCCCAATTGGATAAAATCACACATGAGTAAGTTGGTACCACCATAAACTCATGGTCTACAACTAATAGTCAGCTTTATGATCACTTGAAAAACATTTATTCATGCATTTCATTTATTAAGTGCCTGCTATGTGCTAGACATTGTGCTGAGTACTTGGGATACATCAGTGATCAAAACAAGCAAAGCTCCTTGTCCATTGAGCTTACTTCATTGATTCCTTAAAAACTCTCCCATTCTCCTCAAAATTCAATTAGAACTTTCTTCACTTTCTTCAACTTTTTCCTGCCTGTAGCCGATCTGCCAGACCTCCACTTTTCAAAGGAACCAGAACCATCAGATGGGAACTTGCCACAGTCAAAAACCATTGAGTACAACCTCCTTCCTTCCTGCTACAGTGTAAGATGTCATTCTGGGAGGCCTTCCTTGCCCCTCCCAAACAAGGATGGGTGCCCTTATCCTCCCCTCCTCCGCCCCCAGCACTTTCTACACTAGATTGTAACTTCTTTCTTTTTTTTCTTTTTTATTCATCGGTATTTGTCACAACCTTTTAAAGCAGAATGTAACTTGAGCACTACATTTCCATTCACAAAACTTGCTCTAGTTGCTTTCAAAGGGCTTTACAACATGCCTAGGTAGGCTTATAATTTTGCTAAACAGTACTTTTCTTTGGAAAACAAGCTCTAGGGATAGTTACTCCTATCAAGTTGGTTTCGCTTAACTTACTAAATTTCTAGAGGCCGTACATGCAGTTGCTAACTACAGGGGATAGCAGGTTTGAACAGAGCCTAGCAGATGAAAGCTGTTTTAACTAATGTTTTTCTTTTAAACATCACAGTATATCTCAGAACACTTCAGTGACAAAAGATTTGGTCTACTAAGGAATCTGCCTGATAGCTAAATACTTAAGGACCGCAAAGACCTTATCTAACCAGTTTACTGCTTTCACTCCAGCATCTGGTGTTTAGTATCCGGTTTGAACTTCCTAACTTCTGGGTCAAAGAATGAGCAATGGGCGGGATTTCTGCTCATGGGCGGGGCCTGCTCCGGGGCGGGGCCTCAGGAATCTCTTCAAGCTTCCTAGCGGCCACCTCAGGAGGCATCCCCTCAGGACGCCGAAGTCTGCCTCTTTGGCCCCCTCGAGTCCAGAGGTGGGCAGTTAAGCTCAGCCGAGATTCAAGCTGGGCGTTTCAGATGCCTCAGTGCCGTTCCCGCCGCAGGACTCCCTCACTTAGGTTGGCGGGGCCTGTGGGTGGGGCGGCTGCGCCAGGGACCCACCGCTGAGCCTCCGAGTGTCCACGCGCGGCCTTGGCCTCCTTCGCTCCCTTTCCCTCTGTTTTTCTGTCTCTTCCCCTCTCCCCTCATTCCTCCCCTTTCCTCTCCCCGTCTCCCTCCTCCATAGGGACATCGAGTTTAGGGCTTGGCCAGCGGCCCAGCTCCAGTTGCCACTTGGGCCCTGTCATGTCCAGTACCCCTGATAGGCCCAGTGTCCTAAAAATGACAGTGAAACCTCACGCAGCCACCCCTTTGGGAGAGGTTAGTTTCTCAAACTCCCTGCTTTCACAAGAGGGATGATGCCCACAGTCCCAGGGGAGTTGTTTCGGAAGAGATGAAGGGAGCTGTGAGGCCGAGGTGGGCTAGTGGGAATGATGGGTGGAAGCCCAGCCCAGACCCATCAGGGCAGAATGCCAGTGGGCTGAGTCCTGAGGGGCAGAGGCAGACCTGGGATTGAATCTGTGGGAGGACCATAGTGAGGCATTCTAGCAGACAGGAAAGGCTGCAGGCTTCTAGAAAGGGGGAAAAACCAAGGCAACTGTCTTTAAATCTCAGGTGCTGGTACTTTACTGCATTTATTGAGGGTCTGCTATGTGTCAACTCCTGTATGTGATAGGAATTCTAGCTATGTCCTACTAGAGGTAGAAGGAAATGATGTTTTTAGAACTATTTTTCCCATTATGATAATATTACATAGTGAATTTGAAGATATGGAAAAGTAAAAGAATCCCATGAATTTCCAGTCTCAACATAATTTTCACAGCATTTTGATGTATTTCTCTCCAAACTTTGCTATTCATATTTTTACATTGTTAAAATAGAGGTTTTTTTAGGTAGGAAAGCAGTTAATATTTTAGCATAAATCTTTTCTATACTCTAAACTCTTCCTAAACATCATTTTTAATGACTGTTATTCTCTGAAGTAGGTTTTCTGTGGTGAGTTGGCCACTCATGTGGATAGTTATTTTAGCACTGACTTCTATAGCTCGTCTCCTACATTCCAGTTGTTTCCTAAACATCCCCAAGCTCCATTTCCCACAGGTACCACAGGCCTAACATCTTCATAATTTAAGCCATTTTCTTCTGTCCCAACCTGCTCTTCTTGTTGTATTCCCCAAAGCAATTAGTATCACCTAGTTACTCAAGCAAGATACACAGGAGTCATTCTACACGGTTCCCTCTTCATCTTTCCCATAATCAGTCACCAACGTTTGCTAATTTTCTCTGCTAGTTCTCAAATCTGTCTCTCTTTCCCATCCTTACTGCCACCCTGGTAGTTCAGGCCCTCATCGTTTTTCTCATAAATTTTACAGTAGCCTCCTAGCTGACCTCCATTCCTACAGTTTTGTTCATCTTAAATCCTTTCCCTTCACTACTGCCAAAGCAATCTACCTAAAACAAAAATGACTCTGATACTGCCCTCCCTTAGATCTTACAGTTAGGCCATACTTTCTACATGGTATAGAGAACCTCCTACCTGCAGATCTCTTCTTTCGCTTCTCTTGCCATTACCTGCTTGCATTTGTTATTCTAGTAATAGAAGAAAGTTTGTAGTTTTCCCCTGAGCCCAAATGCTGTTCATTGCTTCTATATCTTTGCTCATTGTGATTTTTATTTCTGTCTGGAATACCCTCACCACTTTTCCACATGGCTGATTTTTCTTTTTCTTTTTGGCTGATTCTTAATTGTCCTTCTATTCCAATTTAAGTATTATCTCCCCAGGGAACCTACCCCGAAAGTCCAGGTTGGGCTAAATGTCCCTTCTTTCTGCTCTACATAGTGATTATCTCTGTCTTTTCAATTAAAACATCCTTTAAAACACTTTAAATCTATTTACTTTGTGTACTTTTTCTTATAATTTTCTTATAATGTAGTCTGAGTATGTATTATTTTTCAGTTTGGAGTCTCTCTAGATTCTCACTTATGGAGGTCTGTTTCCTTGTATGTTTGATATATTTTATTAGGAGCTATATACATTTGGTTAAACTTTAACTTTGTGAATCCTGAAGGGCTTAGATTGAGATGATCTGTCTTGGTTTCTTCTGGGTGCTAGAAGATACCACCAACGTGGAACTGTTTCTTTCTTTTCCTTTTTTCTTTTTCTTTTCTTTCTTTCTTTCCTTTTTTCTTTTTTTTTCTGTCTATACCTTCTATTTATTTCTTGGATTGGGATTTCTCAGGCCATGAGTATATTGTAAATTCAGATCCTGGGACTGCATGAGACTAGGGCTGTGATTATAAATTATGAGGGGGAAGTTATTAGTATTATATTAGTATTGTGAGTTTTTCCACTCAGTTTTGATAGTTTTGTATATTTCTCAAATCTGTCTCTCCTCCCCATTCTTGTGTCACCAGAGACAAATTGATTTTA